GGGGGGGGGGGGGGGGGGGGGGGGGGGGGGGGGGGGGGGGGGGGGGGGAATAAAAGAAGCAGCAAATTTTGTATAACTTATGTCGGATTTTATGTGGAGATCCCCATTTTTGTAACCAAACATTGTATAAAGTTATGCTAGTTAAAAATACATGCTAGTTTAAATATATGAATAAGTCTTCCTTAATCAGTAACCAAAAGTCCTCTGAATATTTTAAGCGATCGTTTGGTAAAATGTACAAGAATAGTATTGAATATGATGTATTAGTTATGATGACAATATTGTTTTTATTAATTGCTTGATTTGTTATCTTAAATTAAAATTGGAACAATATTGAATAGTCACTGGGTAATGTTGTCATTTTCGTAATAAACAAAGAAGTTTGAAAACTAAAAATAGTGTGAGTTTCAATGCAGATTGTTGATTACGGTGTAGGATTTCAATGTTACGGATTGCAAGACTTTTACTTTTACGTTACGTAGATTAGTGTAAAACGTAAATAAAGACGTTTGTTTTTGTGTCATTTTCCTGTTACCCTCAAGTATTGGACTATAGTATATGAAGAAAATGACAGGGATTACTATTCAAAATTATGGTAAAACTCTGTCGAAGACAACATTATTTTGGTGTTAGGACTTCCTCAATAGCAAATATGTCACTAAATCATAATCAAATAATACACAAATTATATATATAATCTGTAACATCTAGTGAAATTTCAAGCTTTGACAAAGAACTTAGGACCATATGATCTCAAATAAGGAGAAAAACATGTGACAAAGGTAAAAAGAATAATTCTGTATATATATAAAAAATGAAATTTTCAAGATTCAACCTTTTAAATTTTAATTTGTTGACGATTGCCTAGCTGCTACATCTCACTTTGGTAGGACATCATTGGGTGTGTAGGTATATTGTTGTTGTGAAGATTGGCTAGCTAATTTTGTATGATGACTTGATTGATTTTGACACATATATACTTCTAATAATTTGAATTCGCGTCGAAAAGTTTGATAATGAAGGTAAAACATTGCCTGCTCCATATTCAAACGGACTCGAACCCAAAATCTCTGAATTAAAAGGCTTCTAATAATTGTTACTACTATATTTTTGGAACGAAACAAAGTCAAAGAATCTTCTCCCATCCTTACTTGTACCGGGCCTACCGGCCATTAACTTCACGATAACAAATATTTTGGTAAAGGAAAAAAAAAACATTCTGTAATCGAAACACAAGCACTCAAAATCCAATTTCGCAAACATATATAGTAGTAACAAATACATTATTCTTACATGATGAGAAAGCTAAGGAGAATTCTCTTTTATTGACATTACAAATAAAAATCAAAACATCACGTCCCACTAATTAACAAAACAACATGAATTAAACAAAGTTGTTGAGAAATGAAACTTTTACTTAATTCCTGGGTGCAAATTTAGCCTTAATCTGCTGAACTTGCATAGTACCAATTTGGAATGTTTGAGCCAAGATATCATTAGGAATACCTGGTGCTGGTGTTGCTGCAAACAACGTTGTTGCAATCGACTGTGTACCAGCTAACTGACTATTGAACCCAGCAATAACAGCTGCTGGCATGTGACCGTTATTCTTTTGGAAATGAACAAGTCCTCTAGGAAAAACAAACACTTCTCCTTGTACAATGTGCTTAGCGACCAATACATTAGTTGTAGTAATAAAACCAACATCTAATTCACCTTGTAAAACGTAAATCATCTCCGTGGCTCGTGGGTGGAGGTGGGGTGGGTTAATGCCACCAGGAGCATAGTCGATTCGAGCCATGGACACACCTAGGGTGTTAAGCCCAGGGATAGCCATAACGTTAGCTCCAGTGACAAGGGAACCAAACATGTTGTTTGTGGCTCCTGGCTTTGAAATAACCATCGACGAGAAATCAGCCGCGGAGAACATATTCTTGCATGTAAATCCATTCAATTTCAAGGCTGTTACACAATCAGATCACTTATAAGTTAATTAATTACGTACAAATAAATTTTCAATATTATTGGAACCGCGTCTTAGCTTAACTTACTTGAGGTGAGATCAGCAACACAAACATCCTGAAGCATATCTGGATCTCCCGCACAAGCTTTATCTGAGTTAATAGCTAATAATGCCATAATTACCATAATTAAAGGAAACATTTTTCTAAAGACAGCCATTTGGAATTGGACAAAGAAGATTGAATGTTGCTTTATAAATTTGTATGGATAATGAAAAGAGAAATTAGGCAGTTTATTTATAGGGTGAGAATTAGAAGCCGGACAAATCAAAGTGATGTAATTGGAATCTTAGTTTACATAAGATAATTTGTGTTTGAGCACGAAACATGCCATTTGCTAATTGTTAATAATTTGACTATAATGTATTCGAGTTGTTATCAAGTTTTATCCTCATTGGGATATTAATTTCTTTTAGGAAATGAACTTCTTTACTAAAAAGAAATTAAAAATAGAAAATAGTCTTCATTATATATCACAATTTGACATGTTCTAACAAGCTACAATCACAAGTTGACTTTCACAAAATTGAAATGGTACTATATATATAATTAACAAGTGTGAATAAGTTTATGCCGAAGCTCATCATACGAATAATTAAGGTCTAGTTGGTAACCTCGAAATAAAAACTTAAAAATAAAAATAAAGAATTATGTTGGTTAATTATTACTTTGCATATAATATTTGAAATGGTCCATTAAGAATGAAGGATATAAAATATGCTTCTTAATTATCCTAACAATTAAACGGTATGACATAACTCTATTGATATTCAGTAAATAGTACGTAATATATTTGACCTGATTTTGAAAAATTACTAGTATAGCTAAGGTATATTTTAATTAGAGATCCCTTAAATTTTCCTTAACTTGGACTTCAATTGGAACGTGAAAATTACAGATATATATATATATCAAATTTCTCTTATTATATAAGAGACAGTTAGTGTTGAAGCAGGCACGTCCTTCAGCGTTTTTCTGAAAAAAAAAATTAAAAAATGATTTCTTTTGGTCTACTTTAATTTAATTAGTGTATAATCTTTTCGAAATTATGGAATCTTTTTAGCTAAGACTTTTAAAATCGATGTGCCTGCTTCAGCGTGTTTTGGAAAAAAATCAAAATTTATTTCTTTTGTTCTACTTTAATTTAATTAGTGTATAATTTTTTCGAAATTATAGAATCCTTTTTAGCTCTGAATTTTAGTTCTCCGTCGACGTGCCTGCTTCAACATGTTTCTGAAAATAATTAAAAATTTATTTCTTTTGTTAAACTTTAATTTATTAGTCTATAAATTTTTTTGAAATTATGGAATCATTTTTAGCTATGACATTTAAAATCGACGTGCCTCCTTCGGCGTGTTTCGGGAATTTTTTTTAAAAAAAAATTATTTCTTTTGTTCTACTTTAATTTAATTACTGTATAATTTTTTTGAAATTATGGAATTCTTTTTAGCTATGACTTTAAGTTTTAAATTAAAGATTTCACGCTGAAACAGGAACGTCTTAGTCGACGTGCCTACTTCAGCATGTTTCGGAATTTTTTTTTAAAAAAATCTTTTTTTTCCTACTATAATTTAATTAGTATAATTTTTCGAAACTATGGAATGTTATGCCGTAATTTTACTAACCTTTAGAAAAATCACTTTTTGAAATGTTCTAAGTATAAAACAATTGAGAAAATAAATATACCTAGAAAAGAGTCGCCACTTAATTTTTTTAAGAAATTAAGAAAACTTATAATTTTCAAAGATTTAAACAGAAAAAATCATTTGAAAATACCAAAGGAGGTTCGGGGTTCAATTTACACTTCGAGAAGGGTTTAAGCATTCGAAGTGCCCGCTAACATGCGGTTGACCTGTGACTTGACTAAAATATACTTTTTGACTAATTTTTTAGAAAAATGTGATTTAACATAAGAAGAATAACTTGCAATTTTTGGTTAACTTAAAGCAAAGTTAAATAAATGACACATTTTATTTTATTTTATTTTTAGAGAAAAGGGATCCAAAATGAAATATTTTACTTGAAATATAAGTGATTAGAATATTAATAAAACTAGATTAATTAGAATTTATTTAATTCATTTTAAATAACTTAAACCAATTTAGTACATTAAAGCATGAAAATCATTTTAAATTAATTGAAGAATAAACGTTTTGGCTAACCTTCTTGAGAAAATGACTAAGTAAGTATTTTATAACAATAATTTACATTATTAGATTAACTTTGACAAAATAGTTAAACAAATAGCAATTTTTATTTTGTAAGAAAATGGGCCTTTAATTGAAACATTTAAGTTAGAGACAAGTAATTAGAATTTTAACGAAACTAAATTAATTGGTTTCTATTTGAGTCATTTTTTGGTTTATGAAAAAAAATAAATTGTTTTAAACTAAATAAAAATTTTGTTTGACTAAAGATTATAAATGAAAATGCGAGAGTTGATAAAATGAGATTTGTTAGAAATACAACAACATAGAGAAATAGTTCGTCTTTTGGGGAATTCAACTAAGTTAATTAAAAATTCTAAAG